AAATCTAGGAACCCCAGTGGCTGCACTGTAGTTCAGACCACACTAGCATCCCTAATGTGGGAAGAGAGAACCAAACCCAGGGAGCTAGGGAGATGGAGGGGCATGGACTCCCTACAAGTCTAAAAGCAGGCCCAGAGAAGCACTGGCATTTTATCAGCCAAAGATAAAGGAAGATATGAGAGAGATTTGACCGGGAGCCAAATACCCACTTTCTAAATTAGAGGAGGAGAGTAGGGTTCGGTCTTACCCACTGTCAGATTTGACTTTCCTTGACCTAAATACCAATGAGAGGAGCCTACAATCCACTTTCATTATTAAAGGCAGCTGGAAAAGTTCTCAAGCAGACAAAGAAGACAACCATCATCAGAAAAGTTAGCAGAGATGGCTGGGCGCAGTGGCTCATGCCTGTAATCCCAGCACTTTGGGAGCCTGAGTCAGGCAGATCATTTGAGGTCAAAAGTTTGAAACCAGCCTGGCCAACATGGCAAAACCCCATCTCTACTAAAAATACAGAAAATTAGCCAGGCATGATGGTACGTACCTGTAGTCCCAACTGCCTGGGAGCTGAGGCACAAGAATGGCTTGAACCAAGAAGGCAGAAGTTACAGTGAGCTGAGATCATGCCACTGTATTCCAACCTGGGCGACAGAGCAAGACTTTGTTTGAAAAAAAAAAAAAAGGAAAAGGAAAAGTTATTAGCAAAGACTAATTATACTTTTATTTACATGTATATTTGAAGGACTTTTTTAAACTTTAAGGCTCAATGATTATTGCAAATTTTAGCCACGAAGGGGTTAAAAAGTTAATCTGGCTATTGAGTATGAATCAATGTTCAACCTTCTGTAATACAATTTACCTTTAGTCACAATCAACTTTAAGCTTTGCTTAATATTTTAAGTATAACTAAATGATTAACCAAATACCTTTGGTTACAATAAGTTTTAAGCTTTGCTTAAGCCAGTGATCAGACTAGTCCAAGGGTCAACAAACTGTCTTGTGCAGGCTGCATTTATCCTACCATCTGCCTTTGTGAATTAAGCTTTATTGGAACACAGCCACATCTACTCGTTTATATATTATCTGTGGCTGCTTTGGGGCTATGTATTTAGTCTGGACTCTCTCTCCAAGGAATTGGCTCATGTGGTTATGGAGGCTGAGAAATCCCAAGATCTGCAGTTGGCAAGCTGGAGACCCAGCTGACCATGGTACAATACCAGCCCTGGTCCAAAGGCCTGAGAATAAGGAGAGCTAATAGTGTAAGCTCCAGTCCAACTCCAAGTCTCAGGGTAGAAGAAGACCAATGTCCCAGTTCAAAAACAGTCAGGCAGAAACAGTAAATTCTCCGTTACTCTTTTTTTTTTTTTTTTTTTCCTATGCAGGCTTCCAGTGGATTAAATGAGGCCAACCCATATTAGGGAGGGCAAGCCACATAACTCAATCTATCAATTCAAATGTTAATCTCATCCAGAAACCTCTCACAGAGACACCCAGAAGAACATTTAACCAAATATCTGGGTACCCCATGACCCAGTCAAGTTGACACATACAATTAATCATCACAAGCTACAAAGGCAGAGTTGAATAGCTACCAAAGAAATAGAAACCATATGACCAGAAAAGCCTAAAATACTACCTAGTCATTTATAAAAATTGTGTTCTGACCTCTGAACTAGTCAATAGAAGAATAAATGGGAACACAAATTGATAGATTGTTTCTCTTCTGTCACATCTTAGGAGTTCATCCATTTGAAAGTATTTCATGAGCATCTAGAATGTACCTTAGCAGAACAGTGAAGGAAACTAGTTCTTACTTCAAGAATCTTACACTATCTAGTGAGGAAAGATAAATCAAAATAAACACAAAGATGTGGTACATAGAAACATGTTGTTAGAGCAATCTAAGTCAGTGGGCAAGGAAAAGAGAGAGCTGAGTTATGCTGTCTGGGTGGTGGAGGCAGGCCTTTGGTAAGGTGATGCTTAGGCACAGGTACTGTTGCTTACTCCCAAAGTAACACAGTAAATCATGATTTCATACAAGAGCATTTTTGACTGAAGGAACAAAGTGCAAAGACGGTGAGATGAAAGCATCCTTGATATATTCAAAGAAAAGCAACAAGATCAATGGACTGTATCCAGGTGCCTGAGAGGGAGAGGAAAAGGAGATGAATTTAAAGAAATGGCAGGTGCCAGATCAAGTTAGGCTGTGTAGATTATGTTGGATTTCTTTCCATGTGAAATGGGAGGTCACTGGAAAGTTTATAAAAACGAGTCTACTTATGTTTGGGAGTAATGACTGGCTTCGGTGTGGAATAGAGCAGCCAGCACTAGAAGCCAGGAAAGCAGTCAAAAATCAGTCAGCTTCTCCTAGGCATGGCTGCCATGATAAGATACCCCCAGGATCACAGTGATTTACAACCACAGATATTTACTTCTCACTCAGGTTCAATGTCAGCTGTTGCTCTGATTGCTATTGTTTGGAATTCATATTGAAAGAACAACCCCCATCTATGATATCACTGGGCTCTTGGGAGGGGAGAGAGAGAAACAGCAGGATGACAACATGATGGGTCTTCAAAACTCTACTCAGCAGCAGCACATGTCATTTTCCCACACAGGCCCTTGGCCAAAATAAAACACACTGCCAAGCCTATGGTCAAGGTCAACAGAGTGTGTAGACAGGATCCTCACAAAGGAAGTGGGAAGCGTATATGTGGGAACAATGATAAGATCTACCATAGCAGTCATTGTAGTGGTTTTTTTATCAGGATGATAGCAGTGGAGGTGCTGACACTTGACTGTATTCTAGATCTATTTTGGACAAGAATGCTGATGAACTGAAAGGTGTGAGAGAAGGAGAGGAGGCAAGAATGGCTCTACTGTATTTATCCTTTATCTGATACATTAGTGCCAAATTTATGAAATAAACAAAATCCAGTCCTTTTTTTCACACTTAGTCTCCACATCCTTGATGACCTCTATTCTCTGTTCTTTTTGAGGGCTTTGCTCTTAGCTGGCTAAGATTATTAGTTGCGTGGAAGTTACTGCAATGGTTGGGTATTGATAAGCTCTAGAGTCAGACAGATCTTCCTGGGGTTTAATCTTGGATTCTTTTCTCTATAACTTAAGGCAAGTCAGTTAATATCTCTGCACCTTAGTTGAATCGAGAACAGATCAGGAGCTGAGTTCTTTGCCTCCTCTTGCTGCATCTTTACAACAGATCTGTGAAGTGAAGTTTATTGCCCCCACTTTATAGATCAGCAAACCACCATGCAGAGGCATTAAGTGATTTTTCCCAAGGTCACACAGCTTATAATTCTCAGAGGCGAGGATTCAAAAGTCTGTTTCAATCCAAAGCCTGTGCTCAAATAACTCAAATAAAACATTTAAAATCTTGATATTGCTTGCCTTTTATAGTGCTTGCTTTTTTTGACAGACTCAACTATCATAAAAATTAAACTGATTATGTATGAAAGATAATCTATGAGTTCATTTCTAAGGAACAGTAAGAGTGATTCTTCTTGCTCCATGAAGGCAAATCCTTCTTAGGATATATGCAAATGCAGTACAGAATTAGAAAGCCTTATTTATACTCTGGGCAAGGGAAATAGCTTTCAGGAGTGGATATGAAGAACACTATATATTGAATAGAGAAGGTAGAGAGGATAGAAGAAAAGGCCCAGGCACAAAGAATAGGAGTGGAAATCCCTGCTTTAAAGGAGAATATGAAAAGAATAAATGTAACTAGAAACAAAAAACAAGTGTATGGGAATATGAAACCAGACTTCTTTAAGTGATATAATTCAACAATAAATGAGACTGCATTTCACTACCAGTTGAATAAGAAAATCATTTTTAAAAATAATGTCCAAAACTGGCAAATATGCATTGAAATCTGGTCCTGCATGTGTTACTCTCAGCAATCTAAAATGTAAAGTAATTTGAAGATACATGAGGGACTATCAGAGTATTCATATGCTTAAATCAAGAATTCCACTTCTTAGAATTCATTCCCAGAAAATCATTCAAGATATTAGAGAGAAAAAATGAGGATGTTCTTTCTAGAATTATTTGAATGACAACTCTGAAAATGTACCTGTCCAACAGTTGGGGAATGGTTAAATCAATTTTGATACTTCACTTTCTGCAATTTTGTACATATATTGAAACTTGTGACATACATTTTTTTAAATACAGATTGAAAATTGAAGTACTGATGCATGTTACAACATGGATGAACTTTGAAAGCATGCTGAGTGAAAGGTGGCAGGCACAATAAGCCTTATATTGTATGGTTACATTATATGAAATAATTAGAATGGGCAAATCTATGAAGACATAAAGTGAATTGCCTGGGACTAGGTGTGTGGAGTGGGGTGCAGGAATCGGGAGTGACTGCTAGTGGGTACATGGTCTTTCTCTGAGGCGATAAAAATGTTCTTAAATTGGGAGATGCACACATAACTCTGTGAATATACTAAAAAACATTGAACTGTACACGTTCAATGGGCAGATTATATCTCAAAAAGTACATCTCAAGAACAATGCTTTCTAAAGATACAACTTGAGTATATATTGTAATTAAAACTAAGTTATATAAATACATGAGAAACAACCAGAAGTGAATATAATGAAATGCTAACAATGGTTTGGTTCAGAAAGTGGATTTGTGGGTGAAAATTTTTGCTTTCTCTTCCTGTCCAAAGTGTTTATAATATGATTAGATTTCTTTCATTATTAAAAAAAAATAGATTCGATTAACAAACAAGAGACTCCTCTCCTTTGCATTTCTGTCTCCCCTCCACCAAAATCCAATCATCTTATTACGTTGCAGAATCAAGAGTCAGAAATAGCACTGTCCAGCAGCCCTCAAAATTCCTTCTAGCCATTTCAAGCCATTTGATACAAATCTCTGAACGGAAAAGACAACTATTTAATACCCCTCAAGAATATTCAGATTAAAAATTCTGGCATACTGAATATGCATGTGTTCTCATTTTTAGGAAGTGATAGAGGCAATTGCGGAGTGTGCATTTAAGACTTCACCTTTTCCAATTCTCCTTTCGTTTGAGAACCATGTGGATTCGTAAGTATTCAGCACCTTCAGGAAAGAGTCTTTTTCCAGAATGGGTCATACTGAGCAATTTTTTTTATCAGATTTAAGATTATTTGACGTTATTAATGGTGTTCTTCAATCATGTTATATGTTAACTGTCATGTTTTCATTTGTATGTGGCAGAATTCATTTAAATATAATCGACATTAAAATAATCCACTGGACTTGAAGGATCCATTTTCATATCATAGTTTGGTTTTTAAATTAAGAACTCTTCTTTTTGCAACGCAGTAGAACATGTTTTCTTCCACAATATATGTCTCTGTTATAGATTTGGGGTGCTGCGTGCCACTTTTATAACCCTCCTACATTAGCTCCTTCTATTGCACACAACTTGAGTCCATTTCATCACCTTAAAATGGGCAGTTCCCTCACCTCGTGGCAGGTGGAAGGAGAGCTGTGAATTATTTTCCACTTACACAGAATTCAGTTCACCAAACCTCCATCTTCCCCATTTTCAGTGGCTTTCCCTGTTAACATTTATATTTGCCAATTACAAAATAGCCTGCACTTATTGCCAAGCTACACAAAGAAAATGTTATTTTGACTTCACTGTTTTATATTCATTTTATCATAAATTACCAGAGAGACATTTATATCTAATAGATGTATATTAGTTTATCATGTAGTTACTCACTTTTAAGAGCTTCAGAATGAAAGATTCTTTTCCATATGGAATGAAAGCCCTCTCTTTTATTTCAAGAACCTAAGCCAGATTTTTCAACTAAAAGCCAGCAGCACCTGTCCTAATTTGGATTACAAGTTTCCTTTTACCCTCCTTCCTATTGAGAGTGTTTCCCAGGTCACTGAGCCTGTTTGTCCCGGTAATTTGCAACACATGCTTCAATTCTCTAATTCTTAAAGAATTTACTTAATCTTAAAGATGCAGATTGGTCATGAGCAAATTTCAGCTTGAAGAATTTCTAAGTAGTTAAGTGTGATAATTTGTCAATATGGAGAAACCTTATTTCAAAGGAACCAATTTTATAATTATCTGTATTTTTTGAATTTGCCCTCTGGAAACCCATATTACTTTTACTGGCTTGTGGTTCTGTTTCATTATGCAACAGTCATCCAATGAATGATGTAATCCTTTGGCACACAGTTTCTCCAATGCTTCTAAGAGTCAAATGAAGAGAGAGGAATTTATTCTGTTCCATGCTACTTCTGTTCTTCCTCAAAGGGGCACCTCTTTAGTAGCTGTATTTAATACCTGGTTTGCTGTGACGGCTCTGCTTTGCCATTGACTCTGTTAAACAATTTCTCATTTATGTCCATTTGTTTGTAATTGGGCTGTAACAATATATATTAGTCCATTCTTGCACTGCTATAAAGAGTTGCCAGAGACGGGGTAATTTATGAAGAAAAGAGGTTTAATGGGCTCACAATTCCATAGTTTGTACAGGAAGCATGGTGGCATCTGCTTCTGGGAAGGCCTCAGGGAGCTTTTACTCATGGTAGAAGACAAAGTGGGAACAGGAGTCTTACATGGCAGAAGGAGGACGCAGAGAGAACGGGGAGATGTCACACGCTTTTAAACAACCGGATTTCATGAAAATTCACTATCACAACAACAGCACCAAGGAGGATGGTGTCAAACCATGAGAAATCACCCCCATAATCCAATCACCTCCCATCAGGCCCCACTTCCAACATTGGGGGTTACAATTTGTCATGAGATTTGGGCGAGGATGCAGATCCAAACCATATCACAATACTTTAGCACTTTTCTTTCAGGCATTGTAGTTTCCAGACTTGAGGATGTGTTTTAATTTTTTTTTAAATAAAAGAGGGGCATCTGGCATACTTATTTTCTTAGAGATGTTTCTTTTTAAATTCGACAAAATGAAAGGCTAAAGTTCCATTCTGTATTGTCACGCCTGCTAAATTGAGCTTCTCTTTGACATAGCCAGAAAAATATCAACCATCACCATCAACAACAATGTAACAGCTAACCTTTATTAAGCATTTGCTTTGTGCCAAGCGCCTTTTGAAATATTTTACATGCCTCAGTTCATGTAAGCCTCACCACAAACCCCAGTGCTTCTATGAGTAATATTATGATTCTCACCATTTCACAGATGTTAAAGCTGAGTCCTAAAGAGGAAAAGTAACTTGCTCAACACCGTGCAGCTAAAATGTGACCGAGAGGGGATTCCAATCCAGTTAGTGTGGCTTCGAAGCTCACACTTTTAACCAACACACCTCCTATGCCTAAACAGAAGCATCATGAGCCTTCAAAACATCAAATTCAGACAACGAGAGTATCCATCAAGCAATGCCCAGCAAATGCTTGCCTCTATGGCTTGTAAACCTTAAACACAGGATGTTTTTTGCAGTTTTTCACACCAGTCATTTAGAGATCCAAAACTGGACATGAAAACTAATTTCTGCGTATTGAACAGACTAGTGCCATTGTACTGCCCTTACTGGCTTAAAAATAGTACATTTATCTATTAAAAGTTCATTAATAATGCATATGTGGCAAAAGAAAACAGGAAAACAGCCTTTCCAGGATGCCATGATTGTGTCCCAAGCCACTGAGATAATGTAATGGCAATGAAATAGTTAAAGATAAAATTCTCTTGTGGAGGAAGTGGGTGGATGTTCCTTGCTTCTTATTTCCCTTGTCCTTCAGATATCAAAACTGCCCAGCCACTATTCTTTCCTGGGAGGCTAGCACACACCCAAAGAAAACCGATAAGCTTTTCCCCTTGCTGGTAAAATGTTGCGCTGGACTTGACAGCCACCTCATCTAGTCCACGAATCTGTAGCAGGCAGTAGCAGCGCTCTTTCCCACTGAAGGACTGCTGAAAGTAACCTCAGAATCCTTCTCAGCACAATGACCTCGGAATAGACCATCAAGTATCTGACACCTATTTGCCATCTCTGGTGAACTATTTTATTCCCCTGTGTCCTGCATATATGTAATTTCAGGTTCAGAACTCTGGTCCCAACTCACTTAGGCCAGACATCCAAAACAAATTTACACTAGAAAAAAGAAGTCACTGAAATTTCTGGTTTTCTCACCCAACATCTGAAATCACCTATCCACAGACAACAAAAGGGAATCTGCTATCAGCTGCTTTCATGGATCCTGTTGCTACATCAGAATCCCATGAAGTGTCTTCAGTACGCAGATTCCTGAGCTACACCCTTACCCTGAGTTAGAATTTCTAGAAATAAGACTTGAAAATATATATTTTTAAAGCCCTACTTGACTGACGTCCCACTTGTGAACTAGCACTTTTATAAAAAGAATTCACCAAATTCAAGTGAAGTAACTTTTACCCATGTTCAGCCACAGAAAACTGTGAGATTTTTGAACAAATTCTTAATTTCTGTGAATTGCAGATTCTTCCTTGATAGGGAAGGAGGTTGGTTTAGTTCAACTTGGAGGATTTACCCCCAGGAAATCAGGCGAGTTCCTCGGTCAGAAAACTGACCTCTTGTCCCAGATGCTCACACCTTAGGAGTATTTTATTATGCTCAGAAATCTCTTCTATGACCTGAAGTTCAAAATGCATTTGTGATTTTTTTTCCTCTCACTTCATCTCCATGGTAGCTGATATTGATGCTCTAAACACTTCAGGATTTTGTTTTTTGCTAATTGCAATTTTAATGCCTTTTATTTCTGCAGTTCTGACCCACAATTAAAGTTGGTTTGTTTTCCTTTGGCTTTTTCAATTCAATTTGCTCTCTGCTCTGATTTAGTTCCCTCAGGTGGGCGTGCATGTTTATTGAGAACATGGATAGCCTGATTACCAAATGGCTCATTTCACTTTTTGCTTTTTCTGTCCATCTCAGTTGATTCTGAGGCAGGTTTTCGTTTTTGTTTTTGTTTTTTTGAGACAGGGTCTCACTCTGTCACCCATGCAGGAGGGCAGTGATGCAATCTCAGCTCACTACAACCTCTGCCTCCCCAGATTAAAGCGATTCTCCTGCCTCCTGAGTAGCTGGGATAACAGGTGTGCACCACCATGACCAGCAAACTTCTGTATTTCAATAGAGACAGGGTTTCACCATGTTGGCCAGGCTGATCTTGAGCTCCTGACCTCAGGTGATCTGCCCACCTTGGCCTCCCAAAGTGCTGGGATTACAGCTGTGAGCCACCGCACCGGGCCCTGAGGAAGGTTCTAAATGTCTAAGTTAAACATAGATTCTTGCTCTTTAAAGTGCGGTCCTCAAACCAGCAATGTCTGCATCGCTGGAGAGCTTGTTAGAGCTTCAGCTGAGTCCTGGGCCCCACCCCAGACTCTGTGTTGGACTCTTTATTTTAATAAGACCCCAGGTGATGTGAATGAAATGGAAACGCTAAGCTCTAACCACCATGGTTTATCAACCAGCTGCATCAGAGTTATCTACAGGCTGGCTTAAAATGCATGTTCCAAGGCTTTTATCCCAGCTACATGAATCAGGGGACTGTGGACTTGATCCTGTCACCTGCAGTATTAACAGCTCAGGTGATTCCTTAGTGGAATTGAGTGATAATCATGGCTCCAGTAAAATCTTTATTCAGGCCTGATTTGGGGACTGCCTGACAGAGGACACCTGTTTGGGGATATTTGGGACATCTCCCTGAAATTCCTCTACTGGAGAGAATATGGTTCCCTGGAAAATCCTGAGAGCAGGGCATTCAGGTCAAACGCCTTGCTTTCGCTCCAGGTGTTTGAGCAAAGATAATTTGAGGCTCCCAATTTCCAACATTAAGGAAAAATGTCATCTACTTTGGCACCTTTGACTTACTTTCATCAGTCACAGTGCTTTTCAAACTCAAGCACACACCAGAATCAAGAAGGCTCGTTAAGGTGCAGACTCCTGAAGTCACTGATTCAGAATCTGCATTTCTAATAAGCTCCTGGTGATGATGATGCTGATGGTTCAGGGGCCACACTTAGAGAAGTAAAGCTCCATGGTATTGAATAGCGTTCTGCTGTGAAAGGGAAATGGAGGGCTTGGCCATTTCTTTAGTGCACTCTGGAATGTGTCAGACCAGCACAAATGTACTTCTTATCAGCAGCAGCCACAGTGCAGGCTGACCTGGCTGAACCCCTATGCAAGTTATCATTGGAGGAAGAACACTTGAAACCAATGATGCCCGGGGCTGGCCCTACCAAGTTAGCCACTTCTCTGCCTGCTCCCAAAGGTCTCATAGACACAGTTTCTAATGACTTATCCTTCAGCAATGTCCTCCAATGCTTTTCAGGGTCAATCTTCTGATTAGCAGTTTTTCTTTTCTCCCTAATACTGCTGAGGAATGTGGCAGTTTATTCTGATGGCTGCATAAGCCATTTAGTAAGCTCTCATATAGGCCAAGAGAGGCCTGGTGAAAAAGGGCCAGGCTTCCGCAGAGGACTTTGCAAGTCCTTTGACTCTCTCCTTAGCCTCTCCCTGCAGTTCCAAGAAAGCAGTGACTTTGGAGGTTCATATTCAAATGCCAGGGAACTCACTTGCCCCCACAAAGCACATGTTTTCTTTAAAAAAAAAAAAAAAAAAGGAAGAAAAAAAGGAATACAAAAAAGTGACTTTCCCTGAGGACCATTGCAATATGATTTGAACCCTCAATACCACCCCACCAACACCAGGAAAAAAAAAAAAAAAAAAAAAAAGGTCCATGATCCAGGCTTAAACATTCATGGAAAAGGGAATGAAAAGAAGAGTCACATGTTATGATCGATTTGAATTTTCATCAAGAAGGCTTTTCATTGCTGTTACTTATTCTTAATACAGTCATAGTTCTGCTAAAATGTATTATCATAAAAAATGTATTATCATTGCAGTGTGTAGAGATAACTATTGAAAATCAAGTTCGACAGATTGTAGATCAAATTCAAAGTCCATAAAACCCAAAGGAATTGGATACCTTTATAATGATATTTAACATTCCACAAAATGAGAAAAAAAATATTGCTTTTTGAAAGGTCAAGAGAAGCAGTAGCATTGAAGGAATATGAATGTTCCCCTATATCAGCTGTGTTTACAAGTTACTGGGCGTAGAGTTTGTCTAGTCTAGCTGGCGGATGCCGCCTTGTAACAGTGGAATCATCTTACATTTACTCTGCTCTTTTAATGTTTCAAAGGCATTTGCATCCATTACTTCATTTCATCTTCTCAGCATCCTCTGTCCCTTTCCAAGAACAGTTATTATCCTCCTCATTTTGTAGACCCAGAGTGGTTCAGACCCTGGACCTCAGCTCAGCAAACCCTGCAGCACCAGCCTTTTCCCATTATAGCAGTTTCCTACTGGCAACATGTTCAGAGTAATACCTCCTTTGCTTTTCTATTATGTACCTAAGAGTTGCACACACCTTTCCTCAAGGTGCCTGCTACTTTTATCTTTCCTCCAGGACCCCTACCCCAAGTGGACCCACTGTTTGCCTATCTTCCCTTTTCTAACATTTTGAGATCCTCTCCCTCTCTTGTTCTCTCTCCATCATCTTTCTTTCTCCATTCAGCTCCCTCCCTGCCATCCTTCCTTATCTATCCTCTTTCATCTCCTCATAAACACTGTTTTGCAACAGTGGTTTACAAATTTTACTCGAGAATTTAGATGGATATATGAAAGGGTTCTTTCTTCAAGTATCTTGCAATTGACTTAGAATCAGCAAGTTAAACAAAAGGGACTGAGCCTCTAACTCTGGGAATTTCAAGGCTCCAGTGATAGCAAATGACCTGCTGTCCCTTCCACTTGTGTCTATGCAGGTCTGCCTTGGGAACCACGTCACACATCAGTGTCTTCACTGTCTACCTGGATATATTATTTAAATTCACATAAGTTAGGATAAAGATCTAGGATGATAAAAGCCAATCCTGATTGTGGGATTCAAGAATTACTTCTTTCAGTAGTTAATAACATAAAGCAATCCCATCCATGCTCTTTGGATAAGGCTCCTGCCTTCTTTCTTTTCTTGTTCTCCCTTAGCCCAAAGCAGCAAGCCAAGATGGCGGAATATTGCCGACTGATCTTTGGGGATGCCCTTCTCATGGAGCCCCTGGAAAAATATCCAGTAAGCAGTTCTGATGTGTGTCATTGAAGGAATGCATGTGTTATTAATGAATGAGGTTGAGGGGAGACTTACTTTTCATGTTTATGTTTCTTGGTAAGATTAATGCAATTGATGAAGAAATCTTTGACATGAAAGATACCAGCAGTGGACACCGCTGAGGGTAGAGGATGTGCCTCTGCTCTCTTCCTCTTCCCACACTCTTCTCTCTCCCTGGCAGCCTGATGAAGCTCAATCAAGAGTGCAGATTTCCCAACGATGACAATCAGCCCATAGAGACAGTCCAAGAGGACAGGCCTCTGATCACTCCCAGGGAACCACATCACACCCCTTTGAGATAAATGGGTTGGCAAAACAGAACACTGCAGGCGGCACAATGTCTTCTTGGCCTGTCCCTACTGGCGGCTGTCTATTTCCTTGTACACACCTTTTGGTGTGTCATAACTCAGGTCGCCCAATGCCATGATGGCATCTCTGCTTTGAGAAGAAAAACAGCAGAAATATCCTCAAAGTAGCCTTTTCCTTCCTGCACCCCTTTGCCCAATCTCCATGTATTTTTAAGTAGATTTATACCAGCCCCCAGACTCATTGCAAGCCAAGAAAAGAGGACTAACTTATGTGTTCTATAGACTTTCTCAAAGAAACCTACCTTGTGACTTGTACACATGCTCTCTGATACAACACCTAATGACCCTCTTATGGGAAATTGATTTTCTCATTAGATATGCAAGCTCTAAATTGTAAAAATAAGGCTTGCAAATATGGTAGCTTGAATCTTAGGGCTGGGAGGAAATCTGAAGCCACCTCTTTCACTTCTATTGATGCCAGGGAGATATGCAGCTAACCTACCTAGTGCTAGGATCGGGATTTTGCCAATTTTAAGGGGAACCTGAAAAAATGATTTCATGGGCTCACCTGGAAGCCTCTGCCCATCTTTACCAACAACTCTTCCTAGAAGATGCCTGGCTTCCCTCCTTCAAAAATTCAGGCCAGGGCCTTCTTATCTGTCCTAAATCACAATGATTGGGTTTCTATGGTCCATTGGAAAATCAATAAACGTTCAGATTTAGTACATCAAATCTACTAGGACATTTCTATGGTCTTATTCATGTAGAAATGTTGCAAATGTATAGTAATAAAAATACATCTTTGATGTAAAAAAAAAGAAAAAAGGAATTAGCCCCCATGCAGGATACACTGAGAAGAGCTTAATGAGCAGTGCTAAAGGTAGGGAAGAACAGTCTAGATATTCCGTATCCAAAGCTGAGCTGGGGGTCTGGGGAGGAGATCTGAAAGGAGGGAGCAGCATTTTTAAAGAATATACCTTTCATTTCTATTAGCTCGAATCTGGAGTTCCTCTTCCAAGTCCTATGGATTTAATGTATAAAATTTTGGTGAAAAATAAGAAGAAATCACACAAGTCATCAGAAGGAAGCGGCAAAAAGAAGCTCTCAGAACAAGCCTCCAACACCTACAGCGACTCCTCCAGTGTGTTCGAGCCCTCATCCCCAGGAGCCGGTGAGGGGATGGCAGGCTCTCCCCGTCATGTTTTGTGTTGGTTTAAGAATTGCTGCTCTGAAATTAGCTTAGAAGGACTTTGAACATTCCTATTTCTGCACAGTTTTAAACTATTGGTTTTCTCTTGCTGCTACAAACTTTGTGGCTTAAACCAGCACAAATGTATTATCCTCCAGGCCTGTAGGTCAGAAAGCCCTCTGGGTCTCACTGGCTTACACTCCAGGTGTCCACAGGACTGCCTTCCTTCCTGGAGGCTCTAAGGGAGAAGCTGTTTCCTTGCTTTTTCCAGCTTCTAGAGGCCACCCACATTTGTTGGCTTGGGGCTCCTTCCTCCAGCTTCAAAGCCAGCAAGGTTGCATTTCACTAACCTGTCTTTTGTGGTCACATCTCCCTCTGACCACAGGCAGGAAATGTCCTCTGCTGGCAAGAACTCATGTCACTATATTGGATCCATCCAGATAATCCAGGATAATCGCTGCCATGTCAAGGTCTTAACTCCATCTCATCTGCAATGTCCCTTTTGTCATGCAAGCTAACATATTCATGGAGCAGAGATATCTCTGGGAGGTCATTATTCCAGCTAACATGTAAGCCAGATAGTCATCAGAGTGACCATATGCCTTTAAGGTTCATAATGGGAAACATTCACTGTAGAACTGAGCTCAGAATACATTCTCACTGATGATATGCTGAAGAGTTCTGGGCATTTCAATTTTTTTCGCGTTTTAGAGAGATTGTTAAAATCTGCGGCATGGCAAAATTACTTAAATTATCTTCGGAAGTTCCTAGAAGATGCTTAATATCATTTCTTTTCCTTTTAAATTAAGGTTGAAATACATTTCTGTGGTTGGGGAGAAAAGAATTCAGTGGTCACTCATTTCCTTTGGATTATTTGTCATTTAGTCTAATTTATCTTCCAAGTTCAGTCAGAAGCTTGGCAATCTGTAAATTGCATTATAGACATCTGCTGACTGCAGGCTGATTAAGCGGAAGAAACTAAGCTTGACTCTAGGAAGTTTTTCAGTTATTAAGTTTAACATAGGAATGATCAATTTGGAAAACCACTTAACAGTGTCCACAAAAGCTGAATATATGCACTCCTTGAACCCCAGGAATTCCATTCCTAGGTATATACTTGACAAAAATACGTATTTAGGTTTACCAAGAGACACGTACAAGAATTGCTTAAATCAGCGGTATTGGCCTGGCATGGTGGTTCACACCTGTAATCCCAGCACTTTGGGAGGCAGAGGTGGGCAGATCACGAGGTGAAGAGATCGAGACCATCCTGGCCAACTTGGCAAAACCCCATTTCTACGAAAAAAATACAAAAAGTAGGTGGGTGTGGTGATGCACGCCTGTAGTCCCAGCTACTTGGGAGGCGGAGGCAGGAGCATTGCTTGAATCCAGTAGGCAGACGTTGCAGTAAGCCAAGATTGAGTCACTGCACTCCAGCCTGGCATCTGGCAACAGAGCAAGACTCTATCTAAAAAAAAAAAAAAAAAAAAGGCAATGGTATTCAGAATAGCCAAACACTGGAAATCAAATGACCATCAACAGATAAGTGAATTATGGTATATTCACACAAAGGAAGAATATGCAGCAATGAGAATGATCTATAACTAAATGAAAACTATGGATGAATCACTATAAATAAACATAATGTTGAGCAAAGGAAGTCAGGTACCAGAAACTATATACCGTATAGTTTAATCTACATAACATGCAAAAACAGGCAGAACTAATTTATACTATTAGAAGTCGGGATAATGGGTTCCCTGGGGGAAAAAGCAACCAGAAGAGAGCCCAAGAGGCTTCTAGAGATGGGTTGTATTTTGTTGCTTAATCTGGATGTCATTTACTCAGACCTATTTATTTGGTGAAAATTCTTTGCATTTACGATATTTGTACTTTTCTGTACACCTATTATACATAAGTTATAAGATTTTAAAATAATTAAAATATAAACTCTAGGGCAATCAGGGTTAAAAAAAAAAAAGGAGCCTGAGACTCTGATTTGTCTTTTCTTCTATTTCCCTGTCTCCATTGCCTATTTTTTATTGTTTGGATTAAAATTTTTATCCACAGACACGTAATTCTTTGAAAGTGTTTGTTTTGCAGCTTTCGTCACTACTGTGCAAGTCTTTCAACACTTTTTCAGAAACAATCTTCGTTCTCAGTAAAAATGTTCTCTTTGAAGTTTGGAAGGGAATATCATTAACAGGCCTATCATTCACACCTATTTCCTAACACAGCTCTATCCCTTGAACCCTAACCTTGCCATCCTTTGCATGTGGGTGCTTCTGTTTTTCACCATCTGCCTTTCCCACTACCAGTTCTCCTCCTCTTATTAACCGGATGCATAACACAAATGACGATTTTTACAGGCAGTGAACATTATTGCTTAATACACAAAAAGGGCAGCAATCTGTTCATTATTCAGTAGATTTCCTAAGCTACCCGGTCGTCTGTTGTGTAATCAATGGAAACTTTTAGACATTTTAATATGAAGGTAGGCGCCTGAATAAAGAGCACTGCTGATTTACCATTTGGTCTGTAGATGTTAACAGTATTGGGAACTCAAGTAATTTGAAAACTGTGAAAGGTATTGTATTTCAAAGCTAATTTACTTATCATGGCCCCCATTGGCCAGATGCCTCTTCCACGATTCAGCCCTTGGCTAGACTTGTCTTAACGAACTAAGGTAAAGTAAGATGTCTTTTAGAGTTCAGCAAGATTCCCCCAATATCCCTCCAAAGATTTACAAGAGAAAAATCGGGTTTCTGCTTTTTACAGACTAGGAAAACAAATTCTTGCTTTCCCACAGAAACCACAGAATGGCCTGATTGAGTATTTGAAATGACTGTGAATTGTTGAGTCCCATGAATATTTTGTAGAAAGCTCTGCCAAACGATTTTTTAAAATTACTTAATTAAAAGAACCCCCTCTCTGATTTTTTTAAAAAGGTAATAAAAACTTGGTGCAAAAATTTCATTATAAAAAATGTTTAACTGGCAATATCCTAAAAGAATATCTCTAATATAGTAGTAAGATACATTTTCTATCCAAGATATAATCGATTCACCTTATTTACTAACACAATATCAGCATTATAAAGTGGTTGTATGTGGCTTTCTTTGATAAACAATCCAGTAAGTAATAACCCTTGTTGGTCCCAGAAATTCTTTTTCCCCTGGAGATTTTTAAGGAATATTTTTTTCACTGCTGTTATTCGTTAATTGAACTGTGTCAGCCAAATGAAAACATTTATAGGCTTCTCAGAGGACGGTGTAGTGGTCCCGTCTCCATTTATGTAAATTGAGTAGGGCAGCTAACTCAGAAGGCTGGCAGTGGCAGTGAGCGGGGCTGCAAGTTGCCTCGTTGAACCAATATTGCCATCTATCGGGCTGATCGTGCTATTGCATTGTGTGAACCCTGAAAGATAGTTAAATCAATTTAAAACTTTTGAACAATTTAGAACAAACTTATTGACTTTTTACTTGAAAATCTTTTTTATATAGCTAATATTACTGGGTATGATTGAAGCCCAGAGCTGTGGAAGAATGTAATGCTTCATCTTGATATGAATATTTAACCAAGCAGAAATGTCCATTAGTTCTTCAGGGAAAAAACAATTCAGTTAAATGACTGTATATTGGCTAAATATGAAGCTGAATTCTTTCTGATGGAGTTAGATTTCTAATCATGCTGATTGTTAAGGGCTCACTCATGTTATGCTGCCCTCTTAAAAAGAGTATCAGCGTTTTCTATGCTATATGCATTGTTGTGATGACAATACATCCATCAAATAAGCTTGCAGACAAATCATAGAATAAGGTTGGCCCTTTACGATTTTTGTGTAGTCAATTTGCTGCCAAAGCCTGAGAGTTCCCGCCCCAGCTCCTAACTTCTTTGACTTCTGCGAGATCCTCTCTGGCCTTGAGAAAATGTCAACACAAGATCACTGAGCTATGTGCTGACCAAGCATTGCATGGAAGAGTCAGGGCTTGGGAAAGGAGGGAAAGATGAAGCAGGGGTTGTTTATCTGTTTTCTGGGTCATAGAGACCCTGGGAGGGTGTTTCTGTATCAAAATAGAATACATGTACCATAGAAAGCAAACTCTATTATAAACATTAGCAGACTGTATTCAATGCCATGTGTTTAAAAACATATAGAGAAAAAATTAAGACAAGCATTTTTCTATAGAATTTTTAGAATTTAAGTGGTATTACAAATTTAGAAAAAAAGTTTAGAAAAAAATCTATATTCAAAATGTCAATATAATTTTCTGTAATTAATAAAATTTAAATCCCTGAAAAAAAATTTTAAAACAAACAGAAAGCCCAACTTCCAAGGAAATCTCTAATTGACTTTGGGGAAAATATGTGTTACAAGGACTTTAAACTTAAATGTTGAATTGTCGACATCATGATCTGTTATTAAAATTTGACAGGAGAAGCTGATACGGAAAGTGACGATGATGATGACGACGATGACTGTAAAAAATCTTCAATGGATGAGGTGGGTACTTAGGGCTTCTGGTCCCAAAGGCATTCCACCAACCTGCGATGCCCAGGTTACCTCCTGGATCTGACTCATGGTCACTTTCTGCCATCTAGTGGCAAAAAGTAAATGTGTGCGTTCCAACTGCCAGCTTCAATTTTTGAGGCAATTAAATGGCTTATGAAATGTTCCAAAGTCCAGAGAAGATATGGGGTTTAGAAAAATGCTCATAACTGTGACATTCCTTGTATTGTTGTGGTTTTGGAACACTAGAGCTACAATGACATAAACTTAGACATCCCAAGTAACTTGATTAGCTTAAAAATATTAATTGCACAGAACCTAGAAGAGAATCAGAAGCAGGTCAATTGCAATTTTTGAATTTTGTCTTAGCAGAAGTTTATACCGAAACAATCTGGGCAACAGGGTGAGACCCCATATCTTTAAAAAGAAGTTAAAATGAAACATAAAAATATCCAGATGCAGTGGTGCACACCAGTAGTTCCAGCTACTAGGGAGGCTGAGGCAGGAAGATGACTTGAGTCCAAAAGTTTGAAGCTGCAGTGAGCTATGATCACACCACAGTGCTACAGCCTAGATAACAGAGCAAGATGCTGTCTCTCTTTTAAAATACATATTTTTAAGTTTATATTGAATCTGCTTTCAAATTTGTTATATATTTTCTGTCTCAGTACTTGTAGCTCTACAATTTGGTAAAAATAAAACAAATAATAAGCTGTTCTTACTTGATGCCCTTCCTCTTAGAATTATTTTTTAATGTCTAAAGTTTTGCTTCATTATGTTCCCCCACTAAATTTCAATCTTTAATTTCCAGTAGGAAAACGGTTTACCATGCCTGACAAAGTGTATGTGCCTGAGAATGATTTCAATTGTGTATAATTTCTGATTAGTGATTCTAAATAATTTTAAACCCTCTTACTAATTGGATAGTCCATTTGCAAATGAATGTTTCCCGGTTAACATTTGACCTAAATATTACTACCAGAATTTTTAAAAGAAACTCATCTCCACGCATTGTCTCCTCTAAAAATGTGAGAAAATATTAGATCACTCTATAGAGGCCCAGGTTATGCCAATACTAAAGTATTGGTTTTCTTTTTCATTCAAAACTCTATCAAAGTAATATGTCATAGCTAATGATAGCAAAAGCACCATGAGATTGTACCACCTGCCAGGTACTGTTTTAAGCTCTTTTACATAAAGTATTTTATAATCAAAAACCCCTATATGCTGTAGGAACTGATTTTATTCTAATTTAGCAAATGAGCCAACTGAGGCACAGAGCAGTTAAGTAACTTGCCCAAGGTTGCCTCGATTCTAACTAGTGGACTTGGGATTCAAAATCAGGCAGCCCAACTCTAGAACCTGAGCCATTAATCCCTGCACTGTACTATCCTGCTTGTCTAAGAGACACATCAGGAAACAAGAAGGGAGGGAGGGAGGAATGCTGATGAAGGAAAGGCATTGTTTCCTGGTCCCAGCTCATTTCCACAAAGCAACATTTTTTATTATTAGGAAAAATTTTCAGTTCATTTGGTGGTCACCTACCTACTAATTTTCTTATTGTACAGTGAATTCTTAATTTGCTAACATGATGAGAACACATGGGCACATAGAGGGGAACAATAAACATGGGGTCTACCCAAGGGTGGAGATGGGAGGAGGAGAGGATAAGGAAAAATAACTAATGGGTACACCAGGCTTAATACCTGGGTGACAAAATAATCTGCACAACAAACCCCTGTGACACGAGTTTACTTATATTAAAAACACCTGCACATGTACCCCTGAACTTAAAAGTAAGAAAAAAGTTTTACTAACCTTAGACAACAACTGCGAACCCCCTGCAATGGACGATGAGCTAGACTTCAGTCCTTCTCAAACTTTAATGGGCATTCCAATCACCTTAGTAAAATGCAGGATCTGAGTCTGAGGCCTGCAGAGGAACTAAGATCAGACATTTCTAAACTGGTTGGTGGGGGCAGGGAGGAGGGGAATGAATATGTTGGGGCCAAGCTGCCAGCCACCATTCAATCTCCTGTCTCCCTTCCTCCCTCCCTTTTATAAAATGAGGTATTGCTGTTGCCTTTCTCCTGTGATGAATTTTCTTTTTGTATTTTTCAGAAAGGGAGTGATGATTGTCTGCAGGCTTGAGTCATGTGGTCATTTTCCCGGTAAAATAACAGATAACATAATGCTGACTCTGAAAATTTTTTTTGTTTTTTTATTCCTACTTCCAGGGGACCGCTGGAAGCGAGGCTATGGCCACAGAAGAAATGTCTAACCTGGTGAACTACATTCAGCCGGTCAAGTTTGAGTCCTTTGAAATTTCAAAAAGTAAGTTTTCCCTGGAGAAAAACCCCTCTCGTGCCATATAATGATTATGTTTTAAATACAGAGTGATGGGAGCAAAGAATGTTATCCTTAACAGAGTTCTTCATGTTTTTGAAGTCTTAAGTAGATATACATTTTGACAGTCTTGTTATCTTTACACATATATGTAGTAAATATACAGGTGTTATAAGATATTAAAATAACTATATGAGAAAGTATTCTATGATGTTCCCCTAAAATATTTAATAGGGCTACAGGCCATACATGGTTATCTGAATGACACATAACCGGAGTACATCTAATTTGGAATTGTACTTTGCTTTTTGTTTGCAACACACAATGTAATCCATCTATTACATAAGTGGTAATGTTGAAATAAATTCTCTACCTATTTCCCAAAAGGGAAGCAGGCAGAGACTTGATGAACCCTGATATTTATCTATATTCCCTTTGTCCAGCACATTTTATGTATTTAGAAGAAAATGCATTAACTTCACATCACTCACTTGTGTTTCCCTCTTTCAACTCTACATCCATACTTACACAAAGAAAATATCATGTTTACCCAGACAAAGAGCTCTTTATGAAAATGCCCTTTGTATTTTGCATGAAGTGTAAGATATTATCAGATTAAGGGAATGCTTGAAACTTACTAGCTGCTTATAAGGGTGTGCCCTTAAAAACAGAAATGTTGCCCACATGTACTAGCTTCTAATCAAGGATGGCTTTGCAGCTATATCAAAATCAAAGCCCCTACCAAACACACTTTTTTATATTTGTATAGCGTTCCAAATAGTCTTCGCCTGGTAGCCCATGGAATCTAGATCTCTACAACAAAGAATTCAACTTCCAAGATTATATATAATGATTTCTCAACATTTCATTCAATGTCTTAAGTTCTGATGTTTCTTACAAGTTGTTTTATTTGACACATCCTAGCGTAGTTATTTTGATATCACTGTAATTTCATTGGCTGCAAAATGAGTTTCTCTAACTCTTTAGTTAAAAGCTCCAAGACAAGTAGACAAGTGTGAGAAAGAGCCAATACATTTAGATTCTTCAGAACCTGGAAACAACAGCACCAGCTAGACTCACAAACACACACTTTTTTCCTTGTGTTTAATATCATTTTATCATCTTTTTAAAAAAGAATAGTCAATATATTTACCAAGTACTTATTGAAGTTGACGTTAATTAACAATCATGCTTAAAATAATAAATCATATAAAAGTAGATGTATGATGGACCAAAATAAGAGAAGTCAGGGTTTGCCTTAGAGTGTACTGGAGAAGGTGAGAAGGTAGATAAAGAAGCCTGGGAATGATTATGACAAATGAGACTTTAATTTTGAAAGAGAGGTCAAAAAGGGAAAATATCTCAAAAATAACTCAGTTAAAAAATTTAGAGCTGGGCTGGGCGCAGTGGCTCAAGACTGTAATCCCAGCACTTTAGGAGACTGAGGCGGGTGGATCACGAGGTCAAGGGATCGAGACTATTCTGGTCAACATGGTGAAACCCCGTCTGTACTAAAAATACAAAACATTAGCTGGGCGTGGTGGTGCGTGCCTGTAATCCTAGCTACTCAGGAGGCTGAGGCAGGAGAATTGCCTGAACCCAGGAGGTGGAGGTTGTGGTGAGCCGAGATCATGCCATTGCACTCCAGCCTGGGTAACAAGAGCGAAACTCCGTCTCAAAAAAAAAAAAAAAAAAAAAATTAGGGCTATCTATCCACCTTGTACAATACTTATCTAAAATACTGTTTGTAATAGTTGGTTTTTAGTGGGAACGAGAGTAGAGAAAGTGACTCTCAGTCTTTCTAAATGAAGATAACTTTGTTTTGTTTCTCTCACTCTAATCAGAGGCTTGAATTTCACTTTCAAAGTATTTATCTTCTGTTTAGCACATTCACCTCTTTGGCCTCTATTTTATTTCCTACTGTATTAGTCCATTCTCACGCCTCTATGAGGGAATACCCAAGACTAGGTAATTTATTAGGAAAAGAGGTTTAATTGACTCACAGTTCTGCATGGCTGGGGCGACCTCAGGAAACATAACAGTCATGGTAGAGGCACCTCTTCACAGGGCAACAGAGAGAATGAGGCTAGGGGAAGGGAAATGCCAGATTCTTATAAAACCATCAGATATCATGAGACTAAACTTATAATCATCAGAACAACCACCCCCATATGGAAAACCACCCTCATAATTTAATTATCCCCACCTGGTAACATCCCTTGACACGAGAGGGCGTTATAATTCAAGATGAGATTTTGGGTGGGGACACGGCCAAACCATATCACGTATCTAATATGAAAATGAAGTCATGAGACAGGAAAATTTCCAAGGATCTTTCTGTTTTGAAAGACAGTAATTCTGTCATATTAATTGTTTGAACCAAAAAAGTATATACAAACTGGGAAGGTGACAATGTGGGTATGAAAGAGATAGTCAGCACCTAGCACAAACATTCCCATGGTCTCTTTTGTTAATCCCCACATTGGTCCTAAGAAAAAAAATCTGGATAAATTTAGAACAAAATATTCCCATGGGGTCCCTGCTCTTCTGACAAATTTTTTTATTGCCACACTATACTCATCTAAAATTAATTCATGTCCCTAAATTACAAAAGCATAAATAGCTCTGACCCAAGGAGCAAATATTAGAAAAGACAACTAACAAGACTCAACTTTTGTTATAAGTAAATTGTTCACTAGAAAAAAAGATTAAATATTAAAGGTATATTAAGGATTATTTGCCCTCAACTTCATTGAAAAGTTGCTGATTTCTTTTATAATGTTATGATTTATAACAATGAATTTTATTTCTCACCTTCCCTTCTTTTGTTTTGTTGTTGCTTAACTCAGAAAGAAATAAAAGTTTTGAAATGTCTTCCTTCGTGGAAACCAAAGGACTTGAACAACTTACCAAGTCTCCGGTGGAATTTGTAGAGTATCCTTGATTTGACGAATGACTGCAGAATGAATACAGCTGGGAGTCTTGTGCTATTTGTTCATTTGGTTTCTTTTTTTCTTTTTTTTTTAAATATTTTATTGCATTTTAGGTTTGGGGGTACAGGTGAAGAACATGCAGGATTGTTGCATATGTACATAAATGGCAATATGGTTTGCTGCCTTCCTCCCCATCACCTATATCTGGCATTTCTCCCCATGTTATCCCACCCCAACTCCGCACCCCTGGCTGTCCCTCTCCTAGTCCCCCCCAACAGACCTCAGTGTGTGATGCTCCCCTCCCTGTGTCTATGTGTTCTCATTGTTCAACACCCGCCAATGAGTGAGAATGTGGGGTGTTTGATTTTCTGTTCTTGTGTCAGTTTGCTGAGAATGATGGTTTCCAGGTTCATCCATGTCCCTACAAAGGACATGAACTAATCATTTTTTAGGAGAAAGATGCATAAAATGGCTTAAGTATATAGCCTGGAGGGACAAATAGTTTCAGATCTCATCCACAATGCTGGGTGGGGTAGTCTGGCCTATGGAATAAAAAACTGGTCTTGGAATAAAGGAAGCCTAGATTTCAAGGTTGCCTTTATACCACCAAGCTCTGTGTCCTTCGGCAATTTGCTTAATCCTGACTCTCCCTGTCTGTAAAACATAAATAATGATAGATACCAGCTTTATGGTTTGCTCTTTGGATGAGGTACAACATATGTAACATGAGTGTGCATACTGTACACATGTGTAAGATAATAAATAAGGAAATACATACCTTACCTGACATCTCACATACTTATATGTACATCTGTGCAAATAGTAGGCATGATGATATTATAAATATAATATACATTGCTAAGAATGGCTTATTGATATTACTGACAACAAAAATTTTTGCTATTATCCATGAACTAAAATAAAGTAAACCAGGCTATTAAATTCATTTCATAAAATTAACACTAAATATCACAAAGTGCTCAATTTCATGTAGTAAGTCCTAGAATAAAGTTAACCTTTAAAATTTATCAGTGGAAAAAGAAATGTTGATCCCATAAATAAAGTTCTACTACAAAATTATCATCATTAGTATTCATTATAGACTGTGTGACAGATCTTGTCTTATCTCATTTAATCTTCACAATAGTCCTAAGATGTAGGAATTGTTAAATCTATTTTATAGGTAAGGAAACTGAGGCACAGAAAAAAAAATAACTTGTCCAAGATTATTCGACTAGCCAGTTTGAGAGTTGAGATTCAATTTCATTTTGTCTAGCTCAGAACCGTAGCCAACCTTTACCTAACTTGGTGATAGGAAATAGTGTTTTAAAGACATTGCATCATCCAAAACTACAAGATTCTTAAGATGGAAAACTGATGATGATAGGAACCAAAATGTGAAGCAAGATCAGAAACTTCTGTGCTACGCTGACCTTGTTATCAGTTATAAAGAGTAACACAGTCTTGGCAAACAGCATTCCCAGAGAAGGTTAATAAAATGAGGAGACAGCATTTCAAAAATAGCTATGCAGTGCATGTTATCTACTTCTCCCAAACACAGTATCATCCTTTCCAATGATTTAACACATTCCAGCCTCCTTGTGTGTCCTTAGTCATGAAGTCTGTCCTTAATACTCTCCACAAAAATCACATTGACTTTCGCTCAGCCACTTTTGCCACCTCATTGACTTTTACCCATAAGGCTCTGCAAAGCTGATGCTATGCTTACGTGATAAGAGCATACTTATTCTGTTAGTTTAGAAAGCTTTTTGCATATTTAATATGACAACAAAAATATTTGCTATTATGCATGAACTAAAATAAAATAAAACAGACTAATTTCTTTGATTAAATTAACACTAACCCAAATTAGCCCAATGAAATATATCATCAATATTTACTTCGTTTTCCAAATGGAGAAAGATGGAAGGTAGCTTCTCAGTTACTACTATTGAGTAAATATTTTTATAACTGTATTCACTACTTAACATGATGGTCCAGATATAACAAAATGCAGCTTAGCAGGATATATCCAAAAGGAACACGTGTGGATTCATCCAACTATATGCCTCAGCTATTCTGGAATGCAGGTTGTCAGATGGTGGCACTTAATTTCCAGACAATGGGTAAGTACATGCTTGCTCCCATTCTGCTGTGAAGTCACATTGCCAAGTGTCCCAAAACCATTCCCACATAAATGGGGAAACAAAACTGCCAGACTTGATTGAAAAAATAAATAAAAGCAAATTTCAATGAAGGGAATATCAATGCAAAAATAAAAGTGAACTTTGAAAATCAAGATATTTTCTTCAATTATTCCATAAATGGATCTTTATTTCTACAGGTTTTGCATTATTTTTCAAACAAAAATTTTTAGACTTTTAAAAATAATACATATTTATTTTGAAAACAATGGAAAATGTAATAAGTATTTTAAAACAAACGGCCAGGAATGCTACCAACTCAGAGATTCCAATGTTGACTTTTAGCTTTGTAATCTGTCTTTTTTTCTACATATTAATGATTTTTTAATGTAAATCCTCATTTAAAATAAATATATATTCATATGTACATATATAAACTCACTTATGTGTCACATGGAGACATGCATTTCAGTAGCTGCATACTAAGCATATTTCACAATTCACTAAAAACTTATTTCTAGCCACTAAATTTCTTTTGGAAAAGTTTTTTTAAAAATAATTACTAATGTTAAAATATACGAACGTTTTAAGCACCTTTTTGAATATTACCAATTGTCTGTAAAAAATGTGCTATGTACTCTGCTGTCCGTAATGTTTGTTATGAGGTAGTCTCTCTCATTTGAGATCTCGGTTAGGTATTATTATTAAATAATAATAATTAAACTTCAGACAAAAATGTTATTTCACTGTTATTTTAAATTTATTTCTTGAATTATTATTGAGGTTGAACTTTTTAAAGTATATTTCTTGTTTTTTGTATTTCTGCTTTTATGAATTACAAATTCAGGACTATTGTCAATTTTCTTGTTGATTTACAACAGCCCTTTTATTTCAAGGGTATGTTGTTTTTTGCGAAACAGAGACAAATTCATTGGATGAGCTCAGGCTGATTAATGTTTAATTAAAGTTCTTGGTTTACTTGTATGATTACAGCCTCCCTACCCAGAATGAGAGCCCTATGGTCCCATTTTTCTCGTGGTTTCTTTTTTCTTTAACCTTTCATCCATCAAAATTTAATTTTGGTACATAGTCTCAATGTGAGCAATTCATTTTCAACCTAAACAATCATCCCACTGAACTGGAATTACAGGCTAATAGATGCAGCCTTTTCTGTTGTTGTCATTAATTGAGACCCACTTTTTTCACTTTCTACCTTTTCCATTAATAAATTTGTCTGCCTTCCTGGATGCAATAACTCACTGTTTTTACTCTATTTTATAATATGGATTAATACCTGTAAGTGGTGATTCTCCTTTATTACTATTAATTTATAGTTCTGTTTTGGCCATTGCCAGTGAAATTATTTCAAATATACTTAATTTGATCATATTGTGTTTCCCTTAACCACTAAAAAAATATATAGATATTTTTAATCATATTAAATTTATAAATTTATCTGACAAAAACTGACACCTTTTTAACTTTTAGTTTTTCTGTCATGAGAAAAATGCTTTTCTCTTTACTTTACAAATATTTGTATTAGGTCCCTCGGCAAAATCACTCATCTTCATTACAGATCTTGTTGTCTTAGATAGAATCTTTCTTTTTATTTATATTATATTTTTAACATGAGAAAAATGCTTTTCTCTTTACTTTACAAATATTTGTATTTGTAAATCAAATTGTTCTCTTCTGGATATTTTTTAATGTACAAACTATCAATGTTAATGATAGTCACTTCCTTATCTATCAAACACCAGGTCTTACTTCTTCTATCTAAGTGAAGAGTGGCCATCTTTCTCTTTATCCTGATCCCAACATAAATTATACTGTTGAGATACCATCAAGTTGGATATTGACTGTGACTTTGAGTCAGATATTCTTTAGCACACTAAAGGACCTGAGTCCTATTTGACTAATGTTTTAGAAGTTTGTATTGAATATTATTAAATATCTCTTGGACATTCATTGGGATGATCATATGTTCATCTTTCAGGCATAAATGTGATGTTATCTTAATAGATTTTATGTCCTAATAAGCAATTATCCTTTTGCTCCCAAGATAAGCACTACTTATTTGTTGTGTATTAGTTTTAGAACATATGACTTGCTAATGTGATTTTTAGGCTTTTGAAGCCAATTTTTTTCAAGTGTCCATTATTTTTCTTGAAATTGTGTCCAACTTTGGTTTCATAGTTATGTTTATAAAATAATAATTTAATAAGAGAGAAAATTTCACTTATTTTCCCTGCGCTGAAAATGATTTGTTACATGAGACTTTACAATAATTATATCATCACCTCTTTATTAGCCACATAAATAGAGATGAGTCATGACACAGATAATCTGGAACAGTTGACAACCTCCCAGATTCTTTACAATTGTAATATGTATTTTTTCACCCTATCAGTTGCAATATGTGTGAATATTCATTTGATGTACTGACGGAGTCTGAGGAAAATTTTGACCAGTAACCTTTATTCACTGGAAAAGAGTCCATGTATAATTAGATATTCGTTGTAAGTAATCACAGAAGTCCAAATTTAAAAAAAGAATTTGTTGTGCAAATTAAAAAGCAAGAAAAGGCATTATAGAATCCTCTTTTAATGAGGTATGGAGGAGTCCATTATAAAAGACAAGGCTTGGGGGCATAAGTTGGTTTCAGCACAATCTCAGCTCACCACAACCTCTGCCTCCCAGGTTCAAGTGATTCTCCTGCCTCAGCCTCCTGAGTAACTGGGATTACAAGCATATGCCACCATGCCTGGTTAATTTTGTATTTTTAGTAGAGATGGGGTTTCTCCATGTTGGTCAGGCTGGTCTCGAAATGCCAACCTCAAGTGATCTGCCCACTTTGGCCTCCCAAATTGTTGAGATTACAGGCGTGAGCCACTGCACTGTCAGTTTTTTTTCTTATCTGTGTTTTCTACATTTCTACAGGGACTAACTCTCTTGTAAAGGAGTCCATTCACAAAAGTGGACTGTGATAAATCTTACTTTACAATCTTACTTTCTTACTCCAAATATAGATACTCTCACAATAAGGCTTGTGTTTTTGATATTCAGACCTGGCTATGCAAATAAATATGGGCATGTATGAATACAACGGGAAGAGTGGCTACAGATTGAAGCCAGAATTCATGAGGAGGCCTGACAAGCATTTTGATCCATTTACTGAAGGCATCGTAGATGGGATAGTAGCAAACACTTTATCTGTTAAGGTATGTACACCACATCACAAAATTGTTCCTAACAATAGTCTTGAATTTATCTACATTGCATAAAGAAGTGGCTTAGTCATTAAAAATGTAGTAACTAGCAAAAACTGTACTTTCTTCATACATTTTTTTCCTCTAACGATCAAATTTGAATTACAAGTTTTCAAGGCCACATGGATGAGATAAAGGGGCTAAATCTCATTCTTAATATAATAAAAGTCTGACTCTAAATTAACAAAATGAGTTGGAGAGATTCATCATGACTAATCCTCTTTTTTTGGTATAAATATCCTACTGTGAAATTTACATGATAATTAGTGGCCCATATTAGAGAGATTTTCTGGTCTTTTTTTCCCCTTTGGTTCTGAGGGAAATCAGAGAAAGAACATTCCCTCAATAAATTATCAAATATTAAACAAAAGCTTTCAAGTTACTTTAAGTGGCTTTTAAAAATACTCCAGATTATTCAGAAATTTTAAAAGACATATTAATGATATCTAACTCTAAACAATTCCAAGTGATTTTTTTTAGTCTTTGAAATTGATGTTATACCAGATATAATTTTTTTAGATGTCAGAAAATATTTTTCTCCTATGAAAAGAGAATCAATTTTTTAGAATACTTTTTTACAAGGATTCTTCAACGTTAAAGCTTTTTTTAAAAAAATATTGTCTCTTTTCTCTTTAACTGAATAACTATAGAACTAAGAGACTTTTTTACTGGACATAAATGCAATTTTTTAGTAACCTTAAACAAAGGCCTTTGAAAAACTGTAAAAATCTTTCTGTAACAGCTTCACTAATTTCTTTATACCTTAATCAGTTGAGCACATTTTTACCTTAAAACTTATGTCACTTTATATCCAGGGTTTAAAAAATAAAATTTCAATGAAGTGTCTCATAATTATATCTTTTGAAATAACTTCAAGCCACATATATAAAGATTTCAAGTTGGCAGAATTAGAGTGTTTTGCCACCATTTAGTCTGATTTCTGGCCCAATCATGAGCTTGGAAATTCTGTCTCCTTTCACAAGCTTGAGCTCAGAAAGTTCTTGACCAGTAGGCAACTTTACTGTGACCACATAACCCAGATTTACCAGGTTTGGTCTGTCAGCACTTGCTTCCTGCTGTTCCCCTTCCTGGTATACAGCAGAAGGACATCTTGTTTGCTTCCATTAACCTTTATGGCAGGGGATGGATACCTCAGATTTTGAAAATTTGGATAGAAACAGAGGCAGACATGGAAGACATTTTATAAATATGTAATATTAAAAATCTCTTTTAAGTCTATAATATCCATTACTTCTGTAGCTAGACAAATAATATCTAACATTGTGTAGATGCTGACATTGTGTGAGATTGGGGTAACAATAAACTGATCTTGATGGTTTAAAGTGAATACTTGTTCATTTATTCCTCCTACAATACATTGTCTTATATTATTAATTGACTACTTCTAACCTCACCATTTTCAAAACTCCTCTACCAGCCTGTATTAGTCTGTTTTCACACTGCTATAAAGAACTACCTGAGACTGGGTAATTTATAAAGAAAAGAGGTTTAATAAACTCACAGTTCCAGATGGCTGAGGAGGCCTCAGGAAACTTATAATTATGGTGGAAAGTGAAGGGGAATCAAAGCACATCTCACATGAGGGGAGGAGTGAGAGCGCAAGGTGAGAACCACCACACACTTTTAAACCATCAGATCTTGTGAGAACTCACTATCACGAGAACAGCATGGGAGAAACCACCCACATGCTCCAATCACCTCCCACCAGGTCCCTCCCCAAACGTGGGATTACAATTCAACACGAGGTTTGGTTGGGGACACAGAATGAAACCATATCAGGACCCTTTAAGCAAAAGAGAAATCATATTCCTATTCTTGCTTCTATTCCATTTTTCTTATAATTCAACATTCACCAGCAGCATTTGTGACTTTTTAAAGTATTATGTCTTTGTTATTTGCATATCAAAACTCCTTATGGATTGATTGATTGATTGATTTTCTAGATTATTTCAGGTCAGTTTCTTTCGGATAAGAAAGTTGGGACTTATGTGGAAGTAGATATGTTTGGGTTGCCTGTGGATACAAGGAGGAAGGCATTTAAGACGAAGACATCCCAAGGAAATGCTGTGAATCCCGTCTGGGAAGAAGAGCCTATTGTGTTCAAAAAGGTTGGTCACATATTCTTGATATGAGCTATAACTGCATTTTTCAGGTGTTTTACATTTAGAAAATAATGAAATGGTGAATTATTTATTGTTTAATTTGAAAATTTAGACATTTATAAAACAATTACCCTTTGAAGGCCATTCTGAAAACTCCTCAAGATTTCTGTGAATCACTTGTTTGGATTTTCAGAATTGTATTATAAATCAATTCATTCTAGTTTGCCGCAAATGGATGGTCATAAAAACAAATAAATTTAACTCATATCATCTAATAGTACAAGTGATAAATGATACATTTTAATTTTAATGCAAATGAAGTGGAGGGGAAGTAGGGAATAATATAGTGGCTGAGAGAAGAAAAATCCATACTTTCTTTAAAAGGAATATTATTTAAATTACCTAAAATCTCTAGCCACTGAGAGCTGGTCATTCAGTCTTGTCTGGGTTCTATCTAATAAAAAAAACCTTTCGCACTCAACTGGGCCCTTCTCTTTCTTCATGAAAAAGCAAATCTTCACACATGCTTATCATGTAAAGGAAGAAAATAAGTTCAGTGGGAAGTAGACTTTTTACTCTCTTTGCTTTTATATGGCCAAAATGTCCACAAAGCCAGTCTTCTGCAAAGAGAATAGCTATATGAAAACTCTGTTCTCTGGGATTTTTTCGTATTTTAACTTACTTTAATAATCTTGTTTACCATAATGTTTACTTTGTAGGGTTATTATGAATTTTACATAAGTGAATACATTAACCACACTCAAGAAATGTCTAGCACAATGAAAATATTCAATAAATGTGAGTTTGCTGTTTTTGTAAACAATAAATGTTTAAAGAGATAATTGACCTCGTGTTCTTGACATGAGCTATAACTGCATATTTTAGATGTTTCACACTGAGGAAAGAAATGAATAATTGCTTGTTGCTTACTATAGGAATTTACAAATTTATAAAGCAATTGTAATTTAAAAACTATCTTGAAAGCTACTCCTATTTTTCCAGTGGTGGTAGTTTTTACGTTTTTTGCTCTCACTTTGAAGATGCAGAAGTCATTTGATTTGAAAACATAAACACAATTTTCATGTGGTAATAAGACCACTAAACTCTTTTTATTTAAGGATAGAACTTTTGTCATTTCCACATTTAGAATGTTCATGTAAAAATAAAACAGCCTATTATTTTTTAACAAATGCCTCATTAAGGCAAGGTGATAAAACATAGATGAAGCCCTATCCCTGGCCACCCATGTCTTCTCCTCTGAAAATGAAACTTACAGAGCAACATCTTAACTTTTGTCTAAATTAGCTAAGTAGGAACTTCTACTTGGATCTGAAAAGCAAGTTCTGATTGAATAATACCTTTGTAATTATTTCTGGGAACTGTTCATTCTTATAACCAGGTGTCCTTAATGTCCCTTGTAGGTGGTTCTTCCTACTCTGGCCTGTTTGAGAATAGCAGTTTATGAAGAAGGAGGTAAATTTATTGGCCACCGTATCTTGCCAGTGCAAGCCATTCGACCAGGTATGGATAATGTGCTGAGAAACTTTTTATCAAAGTTTCAAAGATAATCATCACTGCTTAGAATATTACTAGAAAATGATTTCAGAAACTATTTTCTGCTTTGTAATTTTGTTAGATAACAAGGGCTATGAGATTACTTAAATTTGAGTTACAAGTTTTGTGACATGTTGTAGTATTAATATATTAGTCAACTCTTGCAACAATAATTGTATGTAACAAGCAATCTGAAAACATATATGCCAGTATTTGTCTTCATGCTCATAAGTCTGTGGGTTGGCTGAGTCTGGCAGATCTAGCCTGAGCTCAGCTGCATAGCTGTGCTTCAGGTTCTGGGTTGGGTCTATGTCTGTCCCACATGCACTCACTCTGGGGCACAGGCTGAAGTGGCAATGGCTTCTACAATATGAAATTCTCTTGGCAGACCATTGGAATACAAAGGGCAAATCTAACTCCACATGTGCATTTTAAGCCTCTGCTTACACCAGATTACTAACATACTGTTGACCAAAGCAGAGCATATACTAAGCACAAGTCAAGAAATATGTCAAGGCTGGGCATGGTGGCTCATCCCCATAATCTCAGCACTTTAGGAGGCTGAGGCAGGAGGATTTCTTGAGGCCAGAAGTTTGAAACCAGCCTGGGCAACATGGTGAGACCCTCTCTCTACAGACCCTCTCTCTACAAAAAAAAATAATAATAAATAAATAAATAAAGTCACATCAAGTATGATTCTGTTATGGGTACAAGTTTGGATCAATAATTTAATCTACGACATATGATTTTGAATTCTCTTTTATGGGAAAAAACATGGTTGGAAAGGGAAAAAATAACAATTAATGTTTTCTTGTCTAATGAGAAAAATGATACCTTATTCACAACTGTTATTACAATGAAAAATGTGACCTGTTTTTCATTGGAAGTCACCTCAAATACATGTTTTTATCACATAGATGTGCATGGTTATAACTAACATTGTGAAAGGAAATGTGTGCTACACAGCATTATTCTCACCCTCCAGGCTATCACTATATCTGTCTAAGGAATGAAAGGAACCAGCCTCTGACGCTGCCTGCTGTCTTTGTCTACATAGAAGTGAAAGACTATGTGCCAGACACATATGCAGGTAAACAACTTAACTCAAATACCCCTTTAGTCAAAGAATTATGTCTGTCTGAGTCACCATATGTTTTGGGTTAGTGGAAGGAAAACTGAACCAAACAAAATCAGGAGATTCTGGCTTAGAATCACCCCTACTTTTGTATGTATGTTTAGAGATAAATTGCTCAAGCCATTGTGAATATATTTTAATTTGATGTATTTTAATTTAAATCACAACACCTTGGTTTTTTGAATGTTTACTCCCTGATAGTCTTATTCTCATGGGCCCAGCACTTACCAACTCATGTTACCCATTACAACAGATGTCTAGGTCTGTACACTGAGTTTGTCTTCCACCAGTTTTAGAATGCTGATTCTTTTCATGGGTGACATCATTATTTTAAGAAAGTAACCAAGAATCATAAATGTAAATGCTTATACTGCCAAGTAGCTTAGGTGTAAGACACTGGGGAGTGGTGGAGACTATGGTAAACTTGGGGCACATGGGCCATCCAAAGCTGGCAGCCATAACTCATTCTAGCTAGGCACTGCCATTCAAATGATAACTATATTGCCAAATCATTGGGTTATTCCAACAGTCCAGAAAGTAGGCTTTTCATGTGAAATGTCTCCATTTATAAACGTCATTGAGACAAATAGGAAAATTGTGTGGGCCATTGCTGGAATGGCCCACACAAAGAAAACTAAAAGTATTAAGAAACTAAAGAATTAAGAGTATTGAGGGATCCTGAGTTGGAGCCTGTCCAGTTTTACTCTCAGACCTAAACTCTTAATTTCTCTCTTCCTGAAGTTTCAGCAGAGTTTTCACCCTTGTCCATGTTCAAAGTGTTGAATAGAGGAGTAGATAGTTATATGGGTAGATGGAAGAATAAAAGGTGAATGATGAATGAATGGGTGGTTGGATGGATGGGTGGGTAGATGGGTGATGAATGAATGCATGGACTGATGGTCAGATAGCTGAGTAAATAGATGGATGACGGATCCTCAATACCTCGAGGACCTCTGATCTAAAATGTCTCTTCCCTGTTTAGATGTCATTGAAGCTTTATCAAACCCAATCCGATATGTGAACCTGATGGAGCAGAGAGCGAAGCAGTTGGCTGCTTTGACACTGGAAGATGAAGAAGAAGTAAAGAAAGAGGTGAGAGGGCATTTTCATCTCACTTACGGCATTAAGCATGATTTCCACACCTACTTGCTGGCCTTGCTTAAGTAATATCTTACACCTCAGGAAAAATAGCACAGTGGAACAACACTTTCATGGAGTGCAGAATCATGTCACAGAACATCTGGATGATTGACTTAAATTTTTCACATTTCATTTCCTTTTGGCATTCTGTGCATCTTATCTTGTGATAAAATTAAACTGTACTCATCTTGCTATTTCAGATTAAACTTTCTGTGTGATTTCATGCCAATTAAAGGTGATGAAGACACTTAAAAAGGAAGATAATCATCAAATCATTTAGTATTTCCCTTTGTCTTTAATGTAATATGCAGGATTTTCAGGGTGCTTTTCTGATTTTTTTATAATACATAAAATATTTAACACAATACCTGGAAAATAGTATGAACCATAAAGAGTCTACTATTATTATTACATGGTATATTTATGTATTATAATGTATGTCCTCCAAATAATTGATACAGAATTCTCATTAGATGTCACAATACAAATAATAATTAAGGAAGGGTCTAAAAATAGTAGAAATGAAATTTAAAAATCTAAAGCCTCTATGTAGACTGGCAGTCTTTTTGCTTTTTAAAAAAGTGAACTATAACTTGATTATTGAGGGTACTAATATTAAAAATAGTGATAGAAATGGGCTATTTTCATCTTTTATTCAGAGGAAGATTTTGAGAAAAAGCATAGAAATGGAGAATTATCAGTATGGGGGAAAAACCTTGAAAATTATTTTTATTAACTATAATAGTTATCCATTAAATAGTCCTTTTAAATAGTCTATTAAAGTGGATATTGTTCATTAAATAATGTTTTTCTTATTTCAAATGTATTCTAGGTTTATTATAGAAAATTTAAAACATAAAAATGAGAAAATAACACAACAAAGAAACGACTGTAATTCAAACACCAATCCACTCAGAGACAGCCACAGTGAATGTGGGGCGTATACATAGCTAGCCTTTTATGCACAGTTTTTACTTTTTCACAAAATGGGGTAGTGTTCACAGTCTGTGTTTTAAGTGAAAATGAAAGTATTAAATATTTTATTGTCCATGTAATTAAATGTTCTTCTATGACATGACTTAATGACTCATAGCCTTCTATCATATAGCTCCACCATAATTTAATTACTAAGTCCCCAATTATTGGATATATGCAATGCTGCACTATTTTTTTTATATTTATGGGCACACAGTAGGCATATATATTATGGGGTGCATGAGATCTTCTGATACAGGCATACTGATTTTTGTATGCTGATTTTTAATCCTGCAACTTTACTGAAGGTTCATCAGTTTTAAGAGTTTGTTTGTAGAGTCATTAGGTTTTTCCAAATATAAGATGATACCATCTGCAAACAGGAATAATTTGATGTTTTCCAATTTGTATACCCTTCATTTCATTTTTTTGTCTAATTGTTCTAGCTAGGATTTCCAGTACTATGTTGAATAATAGTGGTGAAAGTGAGCATCCAGGTCTTATTCCAGATCTTAGAGGAAAGGCTTTCAGTTTTCCTTTATTTAGTTAGATACTAGCTGTTCAACTGTTACATATGGCTTTCTTTGTGTTGATGTATGTTCCTTCTCTACCCAGGTGGGGTATAGAAGGTGGGATTTTTTTTTTTTTAGGGTTTTTATCATAAGGGATGTTGAATTTTATTAAATGTGTTTTCAACATCAATTGAAATGATCATATGGGTTTTTTTTCCTTCATTCTGTTGATATAATGTATTACATTGATCGATTTGCATATGTTGAGCCATGCTTGCATCTCAGATAAATCTCACTGGGGAGAATAACAGCTCAGTTTCTTACTTGTGGTGGGCAACTTCTGTGTTACAATTCATGATCCAGAGTGCCCTGTGGGATCAGTCTAAGGCTGGAGTTTGCCTGAGGCCACATGAGACTTACCTTCCTTCCTATATTAACCTGCTTGCCTTACCTCCCTGCAGTTTTTTTCCTGAGTGCATTCTCTCAGTTACTCATGTGCTCAAGAATCCTCATGTCCACTTCTGCTTCTAGGGAAACCAGCAATGCTAAGTACTTTGCTGTTTTATAAATAAATACAAGAATGAGTTCCCTTTCTGAATTAATTGCTTGGGAAATAGAAGTTAAATATTTGGCAATAGTTACATCTTTCATTTTAATATTTCTTCACTGATAATAATGCTTTTTCTCTTTTCCATGGCCTTTAAAAGATTAAGACTAGAGAATTCTGTGAGTTTCTCATTTTACTCATATAAACATCGGTATGAAATTAATTTCTCTCTTTGGAAATCTACCAAAGGCTCTCAAATTCTTTTCTCTTTTTACTGCTTTACTTACTAGCATATTTAAGAAAGTATAATTCAAGGTAAAGATAATTTACATAGGTATAAATAAATCACTATTAGTAGCATTCTTCTCTAAATAGAAAATGGACCTATTAGGTATGATGCATATTACCTGAGTGGCAAAGTTATCTGAATAACAAACTCCTATGACACACAGTTTACCTATGTAACAAACCCACACATGTACCCCTGGACCTAAAATAAAAGTTAAACAAAAAAGAAAACAGGAGCATTTTTTTGAACTGTCTGTATTTTATTCTGTAAGAAATAGAGATTAAAAGAAAGCATGTTCAAGTGAAATTACATGTATTTTCAGTATTTAGAAGAAATACTTTTTAGATTATCAACTTTAACCCATTCATTAGCCATTGTCTCTAAGAAATAAGCACTTGCTTCAAGAGAATATTTCAATGCTATCATATTTCAGCCCACTTTTTATAGTGTCTGACTCACACGTTCTTGTGAGTGAGCTAAAATTTATCTAAAATTGTTTGCAAATATTAGCTGGGTGTGCTGACACATGCCTGTAGTCCCAGCTACTTGGCAGCCTGAGGCAGGAGAATCACTTGAGTCAGAGACAGAGCCTACAATGAACTATGAATGCACTACTGCACCCTAGCCTGGGCAACAGAGACCATGTCTCTAAAAATAAATAATAAAATAAAATAAAATTGTTTGTAAATATTTCCTGATTCAGTGTATAGCCCCAATTCAATCAGCAATTGAGCTAAAGGTCTCATAATGGAACATTTTACTAATGGTGCCTCAGAGAGACCATTTCTGTAATGATTAGGGAATAAAGTCACTCTAAAGAATGGGAGCCATAAGGCCTTTGAGACTGTAGGGCTCTTTTTACAAATTGGTGTCCTTTGAAAACCTTATCTTTGCACCAAGTTATTGTAGGAGAATAAAACGTACAAAAATATAGAAATAGAGTTTTAGGTCAATCTTATTTTTGTTTATCTTTTCTTAAAGGTGATCAGAAAAGATTTTTAGAAATGTATAATGTTTAAACTTGGACAGTATTTGGACATTTTTTAGTTTTAGAAATTTTAGAGGCATTGAATCACATGGAGTCTATATTGGTCTAATAGAGAAAATATGATTTTTTTCTTTTGACATGTCTAAACTCTTAACTGGCCTCATTTTTAAAACTCAAGAAAAAATATTATTTGCCCTTAACATGTAATACTAGGAAAGAAAAGACATTTCACACTTTGAACCCCAGTGTCTTTTTATCTTGTCTTGGAATAATGTAAGTTTGTTTGAATGATGCCACCGAAAATAAGCAACTGGTTTTCTCTAAAGAAAAGTCTATCTAGGACATGGCAGGCACTGGAGACACTATTTTAGCAGCAAAGACTTTTTTAGTATAATCATTTTAATGTGATGCTTCTAAAGGTCATTTCTATTTGAACATTCAAAACTTCATTGGACTGTAAAATATTACCAGCTTTTTAATAGTTTTATAAAGTATCTTCCAGAGTAATTACAAACCAAATAGATAAGAAAGTAGAATTTCCCTCCATGATTTGAAAATTAGACATTTATTTCAGATAAGGTAAAAATACATTATTCAGATTATATTATACATATATTATGTATACAATACATATTTAGGTTACATATTATCTGAATAATGGTTGGAAGTTAAGGAATAATAAAGATTCATCATTGGATTTATTTTGTCTTTGTAAATTGAGAGTGGTAGATTATTCAGGTTGTAGAATAGGAGCCCAGCCGAATCCTAACAAAGTATAGCATTCACAGTTAATTCCTCTAAATAAAATGTCACGCAGAAAAATTTTAAAACATAGTAAACTAAAGAAAATTTAAAACCCTCTAATTCTGCAAATACTGTTAACATTTTTAATGTTTATCCTTCTAGCATGTTTCCTATGTACATTTTGTTTGTTTTTTGAGACAGAGTCTCGCTCTGTCACCCAGGCTGGAATGCAATGGTGTGATCTCAGCTCACTGCAACTTCTGCCAGCTGAGTTCAAGTCATTCTCCTGCCTCAGCCTCCCAAGTAGCTGGGACTACAGGCACCCACCACCAGGCCCGGCTTATTTTTGTATTTTTAGTAGAGACAGGGTTTCATCATGTTGGTCAGGCTGATCTCAAATTCCTAACCTCGAGTGATCCATCTGCCTCAGCCTCAAAAAGTGCTGGGATTACAGGCATGAGCAACCACATCTAGCCTCTATGCACATTTAAAAATATATATTTTAAAATGTTTTACAGACCGAATAATGTTATTACAGAGATGCCTAGTGAAATATCACAATAGTTTTTTTTTTCTATTTGTAAAAACCTATAAAAGGAAAAAGTAAATAATGCATTTATTAGGAAATATGTGGTAATAATGCAAAAATGCAATATTCAAACATGATTTTTTTAATGTTAGAGAAGTAAAAACAATATAATGAGCATTTACTGAGTGCTTACTATGTATCTGGCACCATATTGAGCCCTTTATTTTATTTTTCTTTCATCAAGATGGAGTCTCAATATGTTGCCCAAGCTGGTCTTCAACTCTCAGCTCAAGCAATCCTCCCTCTTCCACCTCTCACAGCACTGAGATTGCAGGGGTGACTCAGCATGTCTGGCCATGAAGCTTTTA